GAGACAATACTTATGTAAGAGGAGTGTTCGTTCGCTCAGCCGTATATTATTTGGCTGCGGATAAAAAGCGGCTCCACGATATAAATGTGAGCGTTAATAAAATAAAAGTTGCCAAGCGAATGAGTCATCACGCGAGAATTCGTTTTACACCTTCCCAAAGGTTGCCTTTGCCGTTTATTGTGCATTTTTTGCCCTTCCATGTATATAGTGGAAATGTGCAGCTTTGTCACCGCGTCCAGCCAGGTGCGAAACAAAAAAGGAGGCAGCGGGAAATGAGCAAAAAGTGCCGACGAGCACATGAAACGAGTTGATATTTGACATAACAGTAAATTCGGTCTTGTGCGCGCGGCGCCTCCCACACACCGAGAGATGCAAAACCTCAAGAGCTCCGACGTCGTTGGTCACTCTCGAGAAAACCCGCTCCGTGACACTCGCGTATCGAATGACAGCCGCGCACTGAGCCATTCCTGGCAGTCAAGCAGAAAGTGGCGTAACTTATGCCCTTGTCTTTAAAGATTTTTGCAGTTCAACCATTATTTAAAAACCTTTGTCTACAAACTACATAGCTGATAAGAACAAAAATCAAGTCGACCGCGAGGTTCACTGCGACGGATGAGTTCTTTTTGATTGAAGTTTTAGCAAAATTCTTGCTAGAGACGATGCCGTTTTGACCAACAAATCTTTTTCTTTTCAAATAAATTGTTTTCATCAATTGAAGTAAAAATTTTATTAAAAAAAAAATAAACAACAATAATAATAACTGCAAATGAAAATGTTCTGAATTTATTTGAAGAAGTTGACACTTAAGAAGATGATCATGGAAATGAAGAAGTCGGGCTGTTGCTCGTTGCAAAAATTGTTTATTACTTTGTTTTGGAATAAAAAACAATTTCTGCAACGAGGACTTATTCATTTCCACAGTTCTGAATTTATTTTATATTTTATTAGCTTGGTCGGAAAATTAATGCGTATTTCTATAACGGACTAAAATTCTTAATTTGTGTTTAAGGCGATTTATGGAACCTTTTTACATACAAAAAACTTTTACTGTATTGTAAATTCATATGCAATGCATTACAAAAAAACTTTAACTGCATTGTAAATTCATATGCATGGAAGTGAAAACGAGCTTAAAACTCGCTGAAAAAAATTGCTTTTTATTAAAAAAATGGCTCTACTAGTTTTGGTCACCCTATAATTCATTAGGAAGAAAGAGTAAAAAATAAGATAATTAAAAAATAAATAAAGAATTTTTTCCAACAATATCAGAGACCGTTTTCTTCACCTCCATGATTGTTTCCTTGTGACTGTCAATTTCTTATTAAATAAAATTAATTTGCATGTTTCCAAATTTTTGAAAAAAAAAATGAAGTTAAAAAATTTGATTTTCTACATTAACTCTACAGTTTTTCTTATTTCCATAACAAGCAGATTGTTTTGTTTAAATTTAATTTAATTCAGCATTCAATCTTTTGATAAGGTGCGTTTTTCGCCTATGTATTTATTAAAACCAATAATTTGTCAAGATCTAACTTTCCAATTAATAATCCGGTGTATGATTAAAACGGAGCTACTCTATTTTGAGGCATTTTGGTCTTTTTCACACATTCTGTGGAGTCAAAGGAAGCCGCGCTATTATTCAATTGTCTTTTAATGTGCGTTTTCACTTTCTGAATGGATGCGACAGAAAGAGCCTAATCATCATCGTGCCGCGTAGTTGCTTGGGATGCAATTATTGCTTAATTATCTTGTCTTCCCGCATCAAAAATTTCTCACTGGAATCTGTGGTGTCAACGAATTTGGTCATGCTCGGTAATAAGATTTTTTCAACGCACCGCGCGCTCAAAACGAAATCTCGACATTTTCTTAATTGGTGCATCTCGCATCTGCAGCTTTTGATATAAAAACTTTTTGTCGTCATGCAGTTATTAAACTCTGTTTTGTTTTGGTGCACTTAACTTTCTCGCTCATTGAAAATTACCCCACTAAAAAAATAAAAAACAATTAAATCGCAACAGGTGAGCATTTTAATTCTTACGGCATTAATTATAGGCTCTTTAATGCGCCAGGTTTTAAGCATTTTTTTTCACTTTCTCGCAAATCAGTGCAGCCGAAATTGAGCAAAAGTCGTGTCGCGTGACGAAAGGTGGTTCTTTATGTAACCCGACACCATTAGGAGCGATTGATTGAGTTAGTCGGATCAGGTGCAGCCCATCTGGTGCGAACACAATAATTTGTGGTGAAAGTGATGCCAAATCAGGGAGTCAAAATTCAAAAGAAATGGAGCAGATTTTAGATATTTACGCTATTTATCGTATCTACATCATGTCCTGTCAGCTGTTCAACAACTTGATTCAAAAGCCATACTTCACTCATTTTCATATCAACCGAGACTGATCATTGGAAGAGATTAAACGACATGAGTCAAGCAGCCTTTCTATTGAAAGGTTTACTATAATAATTATAAGTAGTAATTCATCAGAACTATTAGATAATTTACACAATTGTCTTATTCAATTTTTATTTTAATTTAAATTTAGTTAATTTGTGGTAGTGCTTACACCATTTGAGTAAAATTGAGTGAATTTGTGTCTTAAAATGAAAATATTAATGCTTTTAAAGCAAAGCTGAAATTATTCTAGCAATAATTATGTTTTTCTTCTCCATCTGATTTTAATTTTTTTTCTTTCATTGCATTTAGTATGAGCTCTTATATGAAGCATAGTTGCCTTGTAACTTGTAACAAACACAATTAACATTATCTTGATAATTGAATTGATAGCTTAATTTTAAAATTTCGATATTTAAATTCCATTTCTCACACAATTTCAGTTACTGCATGAAAATCTTATCTCAAATACTTTTGAAATTCGTTGAAAAATAACCTAAGAATCGCCTGTGAATGATACAAAAAATTAGTATTTCAAAACGGATTTTTTTCAAATCTGATTGTTGAAACCGTTGAAACTATTATCCACTGCAAGATTATTTAAGAGTTTGAGCTTTTCAAGTGGCGAGCCGCGTCTCTGGTCTCTAACCCGCGCTCGGCGTGTACAGTAATGATAAACAGCAATGCTCCTTGGCGCGCGTACCTGTGGCCGAGGATCCGGGCTGCTGCTGCCGACGCCGCTCCTCCGCTGGAGATTTCAACGCCGGACGCATTTCGGCCGATTATCCGAGGTCGGGGCCGTTCTTCGGGGCCGCTCACATAGTGGCCGTTGGGCCGGGTGAGCCGCGAAAGGGACAAGCACAAAAACACACGCGGAGCAAACGGAGCTGGTTGCGAGGGGACGCAGGCTGGAAAACTGACTGCCTGGCGTCCACCTGTGAGTGAGTACCTGAGACCTGAGAGTCTGTTCCAGTGAGTGCGCCGCCTCCCCGTCGCCCCGGGCCATTATCTTCTCACGAGAGATTCCTTCCCACCACCACGCCAGCCAGCCGCGCGGCCTCTCGGCCGCCCATTATCCTTTTTATTGCTGCTCTCTCAGGGCAGTGCGTCAGGTGCTGTGCCAGACGAAGAACCTGAAGCAAAAATTATGGAAAATTTTATTATTGCAGTAAATTAAGAGAGTTTTAAACTTGTTACATCTTAAAAGGTAAACATTTTTGTAGCAAAATTTCCTAAATTTTTAAACACATTGTTCAATTAATTTCTTCATATTATTATATAATATAAAATTTAAAAGTTATTATTCTATCTTGCTCTAACATATTTGTATTCAATAGAAGCTTAGTCTTGTAATTCAAAAATTGAGGCTTATCACAGTCCCTATTAAATATTCAATTGCGTTTATTTTTAATTTTAATTAAAAATATAAAAACGTGGAAAACTTTAATAAAAGAACACACTCTCTTTAAGTTTTTTCGCTTTAAAATTTGAACTTCTTCACGTTCCAGCTTTAATGCCTGAGTGTTAATTTTTATTGCTCTTACTATTTAAATTCAGTTTAAAATAATATAAATCCCAAATTAACTTAGGAAGAAGCATACTAATAATTTTCAATTTAGCAGAAGCAATAAACACTTTTGCACTGCCCAAGTGACATCGCGCTCTGTCTTCTCTCGACGACTCCCCTGTTGCCCCCTTGGTCCAGCTAGCCTGCTTGTGATCTTGAATTTACACAGATTTTTATGATGTGGCCCTTTTTCCTATACCTTCCTGGATGATTCTGGTGATTCATTATTGAGGGTCATGGGAATCGGAAATGGAAAGATCGGCCTCTTTGAAATTACACCTGTCTGTAGGGGCGGGGGAATATTTTGGTAAATCAATATCGCCATTCATCATCTTTTTCTCACAGACTTGTTTATTCTCCCCGCAGCTCACGTCAGACGTTTGGTCTTAAAAGTATTTTATTTCAGAAAGAGACGGATCAACCCTTTGATAAATGTGTGAAATTTTTAGTTTTTAGGATTTATAATATGAAATAAAAATTAAAAATTAAATGTTCACAAAGAATTCAAATTTGTTATTATGTCTTCAAATAATAAGAAAAATTGTGATTATATAATTGAATGTAAAAAAGTAGCGTACATTATGACCAATAGCATAAAAATAAGCCTTTTTATTTTTTAGAGATAAGTAAAAAAGAATAACGTATATTTGTTTGTATACGTAAAATTTTCCTTTAAAACATATTTTTTTTTCATTGATTTGCTTTAGTAGATTAAAATTTAAAAATATATCTTCAATTTTCAGTTATTTATAATTTAAAAATATTGTTGCCTGTTTTGGTTACACATTTATTTCAATTTTATAAAGTGTTTTTAGCCGTGAAATGAACTTAATGATCTTATTGCTACTTAATATGTTATTTTTTCTAACCCTAGAAAATAATAATCATAAAAAATTATAAACATTAATAATATTCCAAATCTCTAATGTAAGAAATAATAAAAAATTTTCCTCACTGGTAGAGTTGATGAGTTGAATATCCTAATGAGAAAATAGCTTACTGTGCGCCATCTATTGCACGTCTGCTCACCTAGGGAACTGCGCAATGTTTACCCTTTTGCAGACATAAGCAGAGTTGAGCTGGGTGTCAACAAAATCTGCATTGAGTTGTTGGTTCACATGATGTGATTTGAGATTAGCACGTCGTGCCATGGCCAATTTTCTGCAGCACCGAAATGAAATCGGGCTGCAGATCCCGTACGTCGAGAGAGACAACAAAGTGACCATTTACGTGATCCACGTAACTATGGGACCAGTCAGATGGCAGGTTGGTGACTTTGAAAGGGCAATGGCCCAAGCTCAAACTTTGGATTTAAACCTGTTGGAAACGTTAAGCTGCTATTAAGCTATTGCAATTAGCAACTCTTGTTCACACGTCATAAAATTTCATCATTCTAAATAGACGTGGAGTAATGAACGATACAATTAAATGAAATTAAAATTGCATGCAACTTCGGAATATTTAAAAAGTCAAAGAATAAAAAAAGGCGTATCGCATAGCTAGAAGTGATATATTAAAAAAAAAGACATCACATTAAAACAAAGATTAGTTTGACCATTAAATCTCATATAAAGCAATATAAGGCCTCCTTAGTAATTAGAATAAAAAAATTTTAAATTCATTTTTTAAATAGTTTAAAATTATATTTTTTATATCAATGTATTTAATTTTCTCTCAATGAAAATAACTTTAAAAAAATGTATCCTACTTTTAGGTAAAGCACAGATATAGTGCTTTCGCAGCCCTCCATGACATCCTTGTTGCGGACCATGGCGTGTCCAAAGAACTCCTTCCACCAAAAAAGGTGATCGGGAACCAGGACCCTGTTTTCATCGAGAAGAGACGAGCAGCCCTCGAAACCTATCTGCAGTCCGTGACCAACTTCTTGAAAATCGCAATGCCTCAGGAGTTGGCATACTTTCTGCACTTCCACCAGTACGAGGTGCTCTATTTGCTGCAGAGCTTGGCCCTCCAGTTCTTCAACGAGGGCGACCTTCTCTTGCAAAACAGCACCTCTTTTAAATTTACACCACTTCAGGTACAAGATTAACCATTTAAAATTTGGATTAATTAAATCGTCATTTAAATTTTTTTAGTTACACGCTATCAGTGAAAGACTGCGCCAACCTTGTCCGCCAGTGGACGTTCCGGACAAAAGACTTGACTTCAGCCATGTTCTGGATTTTTGCTGCCAGCTCACTATGGTTGAAGTTGAGGGCAGCAATTATCCACTGAACAACAGCAGTCTCATACCAAATAAACTGCCCTTCAACCTGAGCGCCTTCAAGAGTGTGCGTCACCTTGTCATGGGCGAGGTGGACGTCACGCAGATCAAAGAAGCGCAGAACATCAGGGCGCACGTCCACTCCCTTGCTGTGCACCACTCGCAATTGAGATCCGTGGCCACAATAGCAATGTGCGACGCCCTTCACAAAGATATCTGCTCGGCCGGAGAGAATTATATTTGGCATAGGTTAGTTCAGCTTTTATTTAAAAGCATTTTTTTTTTAAATATATTTTTATTTAAGTTAAAAGTCAAAAGTTATGAATTAAGATAAAAGTTCTTAATTAATTACTTTTAACTTAAACTCAAATTAAATGAAAGCTTAGCAATGGATTTTAGTAAAGAATTTGTAAATAATAATAAAATTTATTAAAGAGTGTTTGAATTTTTTTACAGATTGACAGAGTTGGACCTGAGTTTTAATTATCTAGAAGAAATCGACGAGTCGTTTCGTATAATGCCCCATATTAAGAAGCTGAAGCTCAGCCACAACAAGCTCAACCAAGTCACAGGTCTGACCCACTTGCCCCAGCTCTCAGAACTGAACCTTTCTGCGAACGCCTTCTACTCGATCAAAGACCTGCACACCTCTTTGGGCAACGTGGTTCACCTCGACTTGTCGGAGAACCACATAAGTACCTTGGGAGGATTTTCGAAGCTATACTCGTTGGAGAGACTTGAACTCGCCAGCAATGCGGTTTCGGACGTGTCGGAAGCACGCCACCTAAGCGCCCTTCCAAATCTTGAGTACTTAACCCTGACTGGAAATCCTGTGTCTACGACTGTAGACTACAGGACGCGTGTTTTGGAGCGGTTTGGAAATAGGGCTGCTGACATTTGTCTAGACAATGAGAAGCCAAATCAGAAGGAATTAGATACTATTGCAATACTGCAGGTGCTCAGAGTGGTCAGGGAGGGTAGGACACCCCCTCCGAGGACGCCAAGGTACAGCTAAGATGGTGTCCATCAAGTCATTCCAAAGCTTCCCCACAAATATATTAATATTGATAATTGTTGGTATTAACAAATTTTTCACATACATGATCTAAATATCGTTATTTGTTTTTAACCAGTGCTCCGTTCTCTGTTGATTTCACGTTGAGTGTACCAATATTTATTAACTTTGTATTTCGTGTACAACATAATATTATCTAAATAAACAAAATATTTAATACTTGGAGCAATTTGAATTTGAAAACCATGATAAAATGATGTTTTGAATATTTAATTAAATAAGAAACTTGATTAACGAGTAACGGGAGTTTATTGGTTATCAGCACATTTGACCAAATAAATAACATTCAACAAAACCATCGGATGTTGCAAAGCATGCTACAAAGGGCAAGTTACGGATTTAAATGAAACAAAGGGCACCTCATGAAGATAGGCAAGAGAAGTTTCAAAAGAATGGCCCACTAATCAAAATTGTGCTTTTTTCATCTACAACCATTATTTGTCCGCTGGCATTGATATACATCCAATATTTATCAACTAGCCAAATTAAATTTCATTTGAATGGCTTGATTGACTAACTAGAGGGTTGTGATGACTTCCTAAGGAAGTCTCAAATGCCAACTCTAGCTTTTATTGAAGATGGAACTCCTCCTAATATCATGCGAGATGGGTCTTCTAAGATATCTCTTAGGCCAGCAAGGAACTCTGCTGCTTGTTCTTCGTCAATCGCCCTTCTGTCGTAGCTCAAAGTCACACACATGCTTTGCACTGGTTTTCCATCAGAACCTTTTACATTCAAGATATTATATAAGTAAACATTAATAGAACAAAATTTAGGAATACCTAATATCAGACGACCAGCGCCGACTGCCAAAATGCTGCACTGAGGAGGGTTTATGATGGCACTGAAGAAATTTATTCCAAACATTCCCAGGTTAGAAATGCTGTAGATAATTTTATTAATTAAAATAATTAAATTCACATGTATTGCTTTACGTAAAACTGCCGCCCTGGAATTCGTTAAGCTGGAGTTTTCCTTGCTTTGCTCTTGCTGCTAAATCTCGGACAACGGCTGAGATTTCCTGCACGCCTTTATCACTGGCTTTTTTTACTATGGGTGTTATGAGGCCTGTGTCAGTGGCAACCGCAATCGAGACATCAACGTCGGGTACCGGAACAGCCTGGGATACAAATTTATCACATGAATTAAATTAAATAATTCATGAATATTCAATTTATTTAATTATTACCTGCTCTCCGTTCCAAATGCAATTAATGTTAGGATATTGTCTGAGTGCAGTAGCGACGCCTTTGATGATAAAATCATTGACAGATGTGGCGATGCCCTCAGATTTTAAAACCTTTCGCAATCTGAGCACCTCGGAGATGTCACAGTCAATGCTTCCGTATGAGTGTGGAATTGTCGACTACAAAACCATCAATACAAGGTATGAAATTGTTTATAATAATATTAGATGTGTGATTACCTTTGATTGTGATAATCTCTTAGCAATAGTTTTTCGCATGCTGGTCAATTCTACATCAACAAATTTGCTTCCGCTCTTAGCAGGTTGTCTGGCTTTTGAAGCAGGAGCCACGGACACAGCAGCTGCTGTCGGTTTGGCAGCAGCAGGCAAAGAAACTAATTTTTCAAGTCAATATATTGGTCAATAACTTTAGTTTAGGATTTTTGATTATTTTAAACCTGTTTGAGGTGGCTTAGGTTTCAGGCCTTTCTGGTTAACTAAATTTAAAATGTCTCCTTTCAAAAGATTGCCTTTTGGTCCTGTGGCAGGGACGTCCGATGCATCAAGCCCAAATTGCTGAAGAAGTCGATGGACAGCTGGGCCTTGAATACTGTTTTAAAGAGGGTTAAATTGATTAATATTTCTTTTTAATTATATTATATTATTTTTACCCAGCATGACCGACAGAGTGTTTTGTGGCTGAACTGGCAGTCTGAGAACTTTGACTAGCAGCTGGTTGTGTTTCTGAAGATGAAGAAGGTGCAGCATCTGCAGCTGGCATTTCAACGTCCTTCCAGTTTTCACCTTCAGCCACCATCAAAGCAATCAAAGTTCCTACTTTGATGTCTTTAGCATCATCACCAATCTAATAAAACAATCGCTTATAAAAATCAAGCCAACTTAAAAAAAAAAACAAACACATCATACCAAAATTTTGGCCAGAATTCCTTCTTCCTCAGTTTCAAAAGAAACAATTGCCTTGTCTGTCTGGATGTCACACAAAACGTCGCCGGCTGCAATCGGGTCGCCCTCCTTTTTCATCCATTTGACAATTGTACCCTCGGCCATGGTCGGTGACAGAGAGGGCATCTTGATTTCAGCGCCAACCACTGCAAAAATTATGCATAAGAGTAAGTTTCTGGTCAATCATATCAGTTGCCCTCTGCTAAAGTGCAGAAGGGCATTGAACAAAACATAATTTTAAACCAAAGGAATTATGAAACTTACCAAACAGGGCAGGGGAGTGGCGGAAACCATGCTCGAGTTTGATCCTAAACCTGATTTTCGGCTGCAAAAGTGTCGGAATCAACTTGTTTGTGACCTGACGGCCAAGACGGCCTGTTAATGCAGCGGCCATCGCAGCCGACCCTGACAGACAGATGACCCTTTTGTCATTCGTCAACAAGGCGGACGGTTTGGATTTCGGTGCTCGGCGCGAGATTGAAACAACCGGTTTAAATTCTCTTTCGTCCTCTTAAATTATGTTTTCTGTATCGAGTTATACAAAAATATTCAAACAAGAGCGAAAAATTTAAATTTTTTTAAAATTACATTCATTAATTTAAAAAGAAATGAAAATTGTAGCACAAAAATTAAAATAATTTATTGTAGGGCAATTACAGTGACATCTAGTTATGGGGCGTGAAGTTATAAGTTCCAAAAAAAGACGTTGCAGTCAGCGCTGCAGTAGTGCCGAATAAAAACAACCACGGAAAAATCACGTTGATCGTGTTTTCTCCAAAATTTGCAATTTATTCCCTAATTAAGAGACTGTGATTTAAACTAGTCCAAAGTCCAAAACCTCTAATTCCGTAATAAGTGACCCTTGTAAGATATCTCCAGAGAAAATTCTCGAAAATCTCCACATCTGCCAATCGCCGTGTTCTCCACTTGACATTTTCCATATCCACCCACACAAACAACAAGACAGGTTCGTCTTCAAAGAAACCCTAAACATTTATTTGCTAATTCTTCTAAATTAAATTTATTCGCCAGCTGGCAAAATCAAAAGCGTGGCGCCGTCGCATGAAAGGATTGCTTTGAAATCCAGCCGCCAGAAATCGATCGAAGAATTTGCCTGCAACATAGACAACTGGCCCGACCCGCAAGTGGTGCACGTTGCAGACTACCAAAGCAGCGCAGAAGAGTCGGACCAAGTGACCATGAGCGAGCAGTGAGGATCGTCAGTCGCTTCTCGAACCTGCGTTGTAGCGCACAATCGTACGGAAGTAACAACCAGGATCCGCGAATAATGCGAGGTGTCCAAGAATTGCCCCACTGTCCAGTGACCATTGAAGAAAATGAAATCAAAAATGGAGCTGCCGAGGTGCTCAAGTTCATCCGACCAAAATGGGAAAAGGATCAAATTAATTATAAGGTATGATATTTTTTTTAAACGATTAATTTACTCAAAGTTAATAAATATTTTCAGTCTCAAAAATTTGCCAAAGTTGCTAATTATTGAAAAAATATTTTTTCTAATATTGCAACTCTCATTAAACTATAAAACTACAAAGTAATAATAATAATTGTAATATCACGCAAATGACTCATTGAGTGTTTTATTTTAAAAATAATTATCGCAGCAAGCTTAATTAGTTTGTATATATTTTTTGCTGCAACTTCGTGCATTCATTCAGCAAGAGTGTTTTGCGTGCATTTGCGAGAGTGCACTGCGTTAGCTGCCCGACCTCCAGCGTGCAAGGTCGCCACCTAGCTCTGGGAAAAACATTTTTTGAGCCTTGGCTGGTCGAGTAGTTTGAGTCGATTTGACCTCTGAGGTGCAAAAATAAGCTCTAGCAGAGATGGCAATAAAAATGTTAAGCTCTTCCTTTTTTTATGACGCAGATAAGGAAGGCGTTTCGATTAGAAGAAGCTTTAAGCTCTTTTGAGCTATCCTGATACAATTAATTGTTTTTTCATTTATTTTTTCATATCAAATTAATTACAAGAATATTTAACGCTTTGTATTACTTAAGCTTTTTTTAGTTCAAGGTTTTGTGAAAAAAAAGAAAATAAAATAAAATTATAAAATGAGAAAGATTCAGCTGTGGTTTACACATGTGGATAGATTTTATCACCAAATTGTCTGGTGATTCGCAATCATTGACAAATTCAATCGATACCGGCTGGGAAGCACAAAACAAGATTAATAATACTTGTATATATGAACCCATATTACTCACACCACTCTAGTGATGCAAATTGAAGATATTTGCACACATCACGGAATTTGCTGATAAAAATGCAAAACCGTGTCTGCGCAGCATCAAACATCACCACGTGACGCACGCATTTTAGCGCGGCGTATTGCAAGTGGAAGCGAATCTGCTAATCGAGTGTTTGCAAGTGCTGGACAACCACACTAATTAGTCAGTCAGAGCGCGGGAATTTGGATCACTTAGCACGACCACTCACGAGCTCCCAGAGCCTTGCGAAATCTCGGCGCTTTGCCGGATGAATTAGAAAAAGCGGAGTCAGATGAAATGGACTTCGTTCGACCTCATGACCTTACTCATCCCTTTGCTACACTTGTATTCACAAATTAATCTTATAGGTCAAACAAGGTTAAGTTAAAAAAGAAACAAGAGCAGATTAAAAATGGACCCAGAAACTATACAAAATTAATCGATTTGATGCAATGAATTTTTTATGCAGAAAAAATGGACCGATCAATTCCGTGTTAAAGGAGAAGATTTGACCCCAGAATTTAACAATCAAACAAAGGCTTCACTTAATTATAATTAATCAGTCAGAAGTCCCTTGATTTCAGTTCCTTAAAGAAACGATTTCTTTTTTAATTTTGTTAAACATTCACTGCCAATAAAATATTAACTGTGAAATAGTTAAATTGAAAATTTGAACTTAAAGTGAATAATCATAAAAATTGAATCTGGTCTAAACCATGTTGAAAAAAATAAAAATAAATGAAGGAAAAGTACTTTTATTCAACAAGGGGTTGTGAGAAGTTAGGTTGAGTTTCTATTTTAAGATGAATTAGATTTTGATTTAGTTGAAAGTAAAAATAAAAATAAGCAAAATTATTTGGACAAAAATTGAATAATTTAAAACATTTGTTTGTTTTTTTGCTTCAGATGTTTACGGACGGAATTACAAACAAGTTAGTTGCCTGCAGTTACAAGAATGGAGACGACCTGCAAAACACAGACGACGTGGTTCTGGTTAGAGTTTACGGTGCCAAAACTGACCTGCTTATCGACAGACAAGCTGAGACAAGGAATCTCAAAGTAATTACTGTAACGGTTAACGAATTTCTAAACAAGGCAACCTAAATCAGGAATAAGCCGGCGTTTACTCAAAATATGATTTTGTATTTATAACTTTTAATTCCGCAGGTCATGCACAACGCCGGCTACGCTCCTCGGCTTTATGCCACTTTTGAGAATGGTTTAGCCTACGAGTATGTTCCCGGTGTGACCCTCAACACGGACACCTGCAGATCCCTGTCCATCTACCCGCTGGTTGCGTCCATGTTGGCCAGAATGCACAGACTGGAGTGTGGTGAAATGCCAAAGGAGGCCATGGTGTGGACCAAGTGCCGACAGTTCATACAACTGGCGCCCGACGTTTTCATGGATGCAGCCAAACAGAGGAGGTAAAAATCAAAAAGACTTTTTCAAATCAAACAAGATCTTTCAATTGTGTTTGAATTTATATTCCACTTACCCTGATGGTTTTTTTAGTCCTCTACATATTCCTCTATGATATTGTAGGAATAAAACCATTTCTTCCTCTACATGTCAATAACCATAGAGGAAAAGCCGAATAATTCAAACCCAATGAATATGTCCTCAATTGTGAAATTCTTACTATAAGCCCATGTGGAATAATAATTGTCACTATCCTCCCCCTATCTGAAGAAAAAAATAATAATGTTGCTAATTTTTTAAAACACACAATTTTAGATTTTTTTTAATAATAAAATGTCTGTGTAGCTATATATTAAAATTTAATAATTTTTAAATTGATTCAATTAGGTTTCTTAATATTAAAATCACTTCTCAGGTTCATCCAATTGAAGTTGCCAAGCAAAGCTGAATTGTTCAAGGAATTTTCAAGCCTGGAGGAAAATCTGAAACAGCTCAAAAGTCCTGTTGTCTTTTGCCACAATGATTTGTTGCTTGGAAACATGATTTACAATGACGGGAAAAAGGCAGTTACTTTCATTGACTACGAGTACGCAGCTTACAACCACCAGGCTTTTGATATCGGCAACCATTTTAACGAGTTTGCAGGCAAATATAAAAATTTTGATATGAGTGATTAATTTTTGTTAGTAAAATTTTGCCTTTTCAGGACTGAGCAATGTTGACTACAACCTATACCCTGACGAAGACTTCCAGCGGGCCTGGATCAAAGTGTACCTGAGCGAGTTCAACTCATCAGCGGAGGTGAAGGAGGAAGAAATTCAAGAGCTTTACATTCTGGTCAACAAATTTGCCCTGACGTCTCATTTTCTTTGGGCAACATGGGCCTTCGTACAAGCAGAACACTCAACCATTGACTTTGATTATCTAAAGTCAGTTTCAAATTCGAAGTAGATTAATAAAAAAATTTATTTATAAATCTAATTATTCTAGGTACGCATCCGATCGGCTCAATGAATATTTCAAGAGAAAGGACCAATTTCTCGCCATGAAGTGAGCATACTGGGGCCAATATGAGTCACTTTGTGACTTTGTTTTGTCTAAGCAGAACCTTTTCATGTTATATGTTAGTCACCCATGAAATTATTGTACTCTTTTGCAGCCCTCGAGTCATTTTATTTTGTTAACGCATGCATTGAGAATAAGTTCTTGTCATTTTTAGCATTCCTAGTACTTAAAACTGGATCTGGACGAGTACGATCTGATAATTCATTTCGCCACAGCATTTACTAGGAGCATATTATTTAGAGATCCAGCCTTAATGATTTTTTTTTTTTGTGAGAGGCACAATTGAACTTAATTTTAAATAATTCCAAATTATAGTTAAATTAAGTTTTAAGCTGGGTTGAATGTGGTCAGGAAGTTTGTTAAATTGTCTGTTTTAAAAGTCTATCTCGATTTTTAATTATTCTGGGAGTTGCTAATTGTTATCTTTCAAATCTTGTTATTTGAAATTTCTCTGTAAAGGTGAAAATTTAAAATCCCACAAGGCGAAGCATTTTTAAGAATCAGTAATATGTAATCTGTAAGCAGCCCTTTTCACTCTCTAAACATCCGTTTAAGGATATATTCAAACCGTTGTATTCTCAAATAATGTTCATATATTTCCAATTTTGAATTTCGAAAAATATTTGCAGGTCCTTTCTAAATGTATTTGTATGAAATTTCCAAGTAAATTAAAGCTGGCTTTCTACATTTAAAACTCAACCAAAAACTACAGCTAAGAATGAGCTTTTTCAATGTGGAATTATTAGATTTACTAATAAATCAATGGATTTACTCTACACCAATCAAAACATAATTGCACTTGCTGTAAAACATTACATTACTAATACTAACAGTGTCCAAATTAATTATAATGATTATAAAGTGAGAGTATAATTATATTATTATTACTTCAAATGAAATTCTGAGGCCATGTTGTGACACATTTGATATTTTAAAATGTAAGAAATTTTTAAGCATGCTGTTGATAAATACTGTAATGAAGGACAAATTAAACTTATGAGTCAAGAAAAATATAATATGGACATGTGTTCTTTTTAAAATAGCTAGATAATGATGCTTTTTTTTCTTTAAGTAATTTCATCATTATATTATTATTATTATGTGCATGCATTGTGGAAGATGGAGAAATGAGGTTTCCGAGTTAATTATAATGTATATTTTTATTTCTTATTGCTTTAACCGGTTTTAACCATGGTGGCTAATGGTTGAAGGTAAAAAGAAAAAAGAATTGTAAAAGAGGGAACTTAAATGGATGTTAAATTATCTCATTACAAATTCAAATTCATAATCTGCAATACGCTATTTTTGGTAATCTGTGTATGCGTGTGCTTTTGAATTTCTTTTATATTATATTATTACATTATTACGGTTAATTGTATGATATTTCATTCGGAAAATTTCTCAGAATCTGAAATGAAAATTTAAAAAATGTACTCACATAATTTCTGAAGGTAAAATGAACGCTTTCCCACAGGCAACTTTCCTGAGGCGAAATAATGTATAATCCAAAAAGCCTGAGGCCACTAGGCACAGTCACATTATGTTTTTTTTCGTTCTTTTCTTCTTCATAACAAACATCTCACGAATACACGCTGCATTTCTTTTAACAACACTGCACAAAAATAAAAGAAGGTGCCCAACTCCATTTTAACACTTTTCTGCGACCAGTATCCAATTTCCACGTGTGTGCGCAGAGAGCTGAATAAATTCCAACCCTGGCTGATTGCCGGTCACTTCCTCTCGCACCGCATGAGGTCTATCACTTTTCACTCTTGTTCTGACTTGTTCAAACACCATCTCCAGCTTCCTAGTAAACGCGCCTCACATGCACTCTGCAATATACCGACCGATTTCGTTATTGAAATGTTTCATTGTAAGACCAAAAGTCCAAAAGTAATTTAGACATTCCTCAAAACAAAATTCCTCCTGCCTGCCTCGCAACGAACAGAAAGAAGGGGCTAAAAGCGGAGGGGGTTTTTCCAGCAACTCCTCCATAAACACATCCATAGTATAATTTTTTTTATCACCCTTCCCTCACCTTTCTCGCGCTCTCCAGCGAGTCCAGCGCACCACTCTGCACTCAACTCTTTCCATCTTTCCTCATTCGCCCGATTGACCGATTCGTCGTTCGAGTGCTTTAAATGCAGTATTTGCGTGTAAGACTTCGTGGACATATAATCGCAAGGAAAGTTGGACTGGAAGTGATTCTACAGCGATCTGCAGTTTGTTTTGATGCTGGGAAAATGAGTTTGTTCACTGATTCCACCTGACTGTCATGAGGCTGCATATAAATTGCTGAAGCGCAGGTATGTACATGAATTCTGAATTCTAATATTGTGTACTTAAATTTTATCGAATTTAAAAAAAAAAGTTCATGATTATGACTTTTAACTTAAATAGTATAAATTATATAATTATTAAAGCTTATTCATTAAACATGCCACAGAAATAATGGGTTTTGATAACACTAATTTTTAATTACAATCAATTTATGATACCAAATTAAATTACTTATTTTCCTCAATGTCTATGAATTAAGTATTAAAGCTTCACAACAGCGTTAAAAAAGCAAGAAACACGCGCGTAATGTTTCCGTTGCAAACTTTCCACACTGCAACCACTCTGAATATTATTAATTAATTATTTTTACTGACAGCAATTGAAAATTATATAAATTTCATGTCGAGTTAATATGCTAAGAAAAGATTTAAAGATAAAATTGCTAAATGACAAAATAATTAAAATCATAAATAAATCCTCTTAATTGTTTGGTTTGAATTGTTTTAAGACTTTAAAAGATTTTTATTACGTTGAAATAAGCATGTTTTTTATATATACGTTTTGCAACAAAAAAACGTGACGTTTAGATATTTTTTTATTTCGTAAACAAATTAGTATAATTAATAATTTTAATATCTAAAGAATACTTTAAATACTTTATTATCCTAGTGCTACGGCAAATATTTCATAATTTATATTGTATATAGCATAAAAAAATTAGCCATAATTATTGTTATCACAAGAAAAACTAGTAATAATGACATCACTTATACAACATCTATTGCTCTTAAAAGCCGCTTTCGTAGAAAGTCTGAATTCAAAGGGGCATCTCCGGCGGCTCGCGATTAGCAGTCCTTAATTCAATGTGACACCTGATATCATTGAGAAAATTTCACGTCACTGCTCCTTCTAAAATATTATACATAGTTATCTGCAAAAAGTCTATGTGCGGCCAGTTTAAAGGCGAGAACAGAGATGGAGTCACGCTATTTTTGATCGAGCGCCGGCTGCCGCGAGCGATTCCCTGTTACATTTCTCATTGTTGGAAAGGAGGGGTTGAAATTGGGAGGAGCCACCGCGTGTCACAAGGGTGGCCCGCGACCTTCTTTGGCTAAAACATTTGGCATTAAAAAAGCCTGCAACCGCACTTCTCGGCACTTTCACCCGGCTCGGAGTCAACTTGGCACGAGAGGTAAGAGCTTTTCTTACAACCCTTTCGAATTTTTTCGAAGGGTAGTATTGCTCATTTAAACTATTAGGGTGATTAATTTTGTTTGGCCATTATTTCTGCGATTTTCTTTTTCAAAATTGTATTAAAAAAAAACGCACACAATCTTTTGTTAGGTTTTTTGTTAAATAATTTGCGGCCGGCCGCTTCGTTATTGTCACTTGTCACATGCTTATGGGGCCGCACGCATCCCTTTTACGACCCTTTTAGCGACCGCGAAATATTGTTTACAAAAGAGTTGGTCGCGTGTTGTGTGTTTTTTATAGAGAGAAAAAGAGTTTAGGTCCGTTCAGCAGTTATAAAACAAACAAAGAGGCTGCTTGCGCGAGTCCATAAAACAGCAGCGTCTGGTCGGATCTGGTGGGTGGATTGGGCCCGTAGGGTGAAAAGCGGGATGTTGCGTCGTCGCGCGCCTAAACAAAAGTGCTGAGAGGGTGTGAAAAGGCAGCCTTGAACGACCTTTGCCACTTTTGTTCTTTCAGTCTCAGCTTCCGTGGTCTCGCGTTTGACACGTGACCAAAACTTATTATTTAATAATTTGCAATTAAATAAAATTCTTGATTTTAACTAATCTGTCTGTTGCTTCGAATATATTATTTTTTTGGTGCAAGTGACATTATGGCTGCTCAATCTTTATCTATTTGTGAGCAGACGTGCAAAACAATTTCATGTGTGAGTGACGGAGTTTGGCTGAACCCTTTTTTTTCAAGTAATCTTATCTGTGATCGAGTTGCGCGCACTTTATTTAGCCAATTACCAGGAATTCGCCATTTTTTGCGTCCTACCAGATCACGTCCACACAAGTTATTTATATTAGATTATAGAATTAAGTCTATCTATTTTTTATTCTCCATTTGATACAACCATGAAAATATACATGGCAAAAAATAAACATGAAAAGGACTGAAAAAGCTGAAAATAATAACAGCGATAATGAAAATAAACTAAAAATTAAAATCTTATTGTTAGAATCATTGGTAAAAATACCAGCTGCCAAAATTAGGAAAAAAATTGGCGTGTTGATGGTTAGTATTGATAAATATTAATGAAGGCTATGAATTATAAAACAGACAACCAAAAGTTTTTAAGAAATAAATTTTCCTTTTTTACAGGAGTCTTGAAATGGTATCATTATTTTTTGATACTAAATTAATTGTATGACTGGTTTGCTGGATTTCTTTAGCTCTTCCCTGCGCTATCAAGTATATTAATTTATTGATTAAAACCTGTCTAATTTTTTATGTCTGTAATTTATTACTGGTGCCAAACAAAATATGATCTGAATTCAAAGACGACATAATTAATTTGAAATTTTTCATTTCAATATTTACACAATTCAATATGAAATATGAGATTTTTAGTTTTTTTTTTTTGAAAAGGCACACGCAACTGCATAGAGTTGCCACTGTGGGTGGTGAGATGATGCATTGTTTATTTCTTTCCACTTCGTCATTCTTTTTATTGCCAAATAAATGTGCTGAGAGGATCAGACATCAGACTTAAGATAGACCGTCGCAATGCGAGAGTGAGTGTATATAAAAGTGCGAGAAAAGTAGTTTCTGAAAATTTGCCGGGAGGGTTGTCATAGCAACGAGAGGGCAAAAATATCCAGCAGCAGAGAGGGCAACATATAAGATGGATTATATTTATGAGGTCCACTGAAGCCCTTCCTCGCTCCTTTTGTTTCTTTCTCTCTGCACATCACAATAACGGGAAAAGCAAAAGGGAAAAGTCTGCGCGTCTCGGAAAATGCGAAAAACGTGTGTGCGTGTATGTTAGGGGGAAAAGTTTTGCCGCCACCGAGTGAGTGAGTAATCATCAGCAGGAGATTCTTCACATGCATTTACCTGTCATGTGCGGGGAAATATGAATTATTGTGTATTGGCCCGAAATTTATGGTCACGTGTGAAACAAAGGGGATGCACCTCGTTCCTGACAGGCGGACGGGCAGCGCCATGTGCGTTCGCAACCTTTTTATTTATGTATAGCAATAGCAGCGAATGAATTCCGTCCGTACCTTTCGCTTATTTTCTCGCCGCCATGCTTTCGATGAAAAATGCTGAACGACAGCTCTTCCTTCCTGCCTCATTTGGCCGCGCCGAATTCGTTTTGGCAGCCATTCCGACGATGAACTGCTGATAGCCCGAATAAATCAAATTGGGATCACATTATTTTCTCTATATTCCCAAATTAATTGACAAGTTCATTGTTAAAACATTCAAAATAAAAAGGAGAAAAATTTGCTTCAACTTTTTTATTAAAAATTTCACGGTTAAAAAAAATAATTTGTATTATTACATAATAACGTAATCAATAGATATCAAAAGTCGATCACACACAAAATCCAGACTAGTTGCGCAAAGCGTGCTCAAACAATGTGTGGAAAAACATGATTGAAAAAATAAACGTCTCCATTAAAGACAAACAACCTTTTACTTCACCACACATCACATTGCGAGCGCATGTACGGAATGAGTGCGCGACTCGCCACTAATCAGCCAACAAATCAATTATTACGACACGTTATGTGCTCCGCCGGTTATTGTTCAAAACGCATCAAGTGGTCACCCAAAGTTGAAAGGTCGTCGTCTTCATTTGTCTGCCGTCGTCGGGTTGTGAACCCGCCGGAATGCGCCCGTTCGGTTGGTTATAAT